TTCTTGTTTATTTTATTTTACTTCTAACACTTTTTTTGACGTAAGGGGTAAGGGTACTTTTGTTCTGAGTTCAGGGTCAAGTTGAATTCACTCGGTGATGTGGGAAAGTACTGATTGTTTCGATTTACACCCGTTTCTTTTTGGGTTTTTTTTAACGCTAAAACTGTTTATAAAAAGTTTTGTTTTTCAATAATATCATTGATTGAATATGAATTTTTTGAGTGCTTGAAAATTTTTTAAAGTGCTTGAAAAGTTTTTAAAAAGTGCTTATTTTTGATTCAAAGATTATTATGCTGACCAAAGTATGACTTATGAAAAACTGGAAGGTATTTTCATTTGTTTTATAAATTTTTTTTTTCTTCCTAACTTAATAGCTCTTACAATTAATGTCAAACTTTACTTCAAACTTCAGCGTGTGGTCTCTTAATGATATGTGTGTTATAACCAGGGTTGTTGTTTCAGAATCAGCATTAGACAGATTTTGGGATAAAAGGAGTCAGGTTTGAGATGCAAAAAATGTGTTGACTCGAAGTTTGAATTTCATTTGGGGACAAACAAATTTAGAAGGCTAAGAAAGCCATTTTTGAACTTTCCTTGAAAATGAAATTATTTGTAGAGCAATTGGGGTATTCAAATCAGGACAGTCAGACTGCAAATATTAACTGAGTCTCTATCATCCTTTTCCGAAAAGGAATTATATTTTGAGAAATATTTAAATAATATTAAAAAATCTAAGACAAGGTGAATGAAGAAAAAAGCACTTTCGGTATGAAAATTTAAAAAGTACGAACAAGAGTTCTACACAAACTAGACAGATTGCTTTTGCTAGGGACCTCTTTTAGTACTTCTACAAATCTATCTTGAAAAGTATAAAAAAAGAACAGTAAGAAGTTTTCTTCCTCAAGTTAGTGTGGGAGAACTATTCTCTCTCAGTTTATGAAATAGGATCTATGCTCCTCTATCAAAGAAGATATTGTTAAAGCTATAATCTTTCTTAAAAACTATTAATGCCAGCTTTTCCATTTTCTAATAAATGCTAATTAATATAAATAATCTATTATGCCATCATTTTTATTCCCTTTGACATCTATTACTTCTTTTATATATTTAAAAAAAAAAAAAAGATGAAGCTGTAAATCGAAATACATTGATATATTTTTTTTATTGAGAATTAAAAAAAATTCATAATCTTATTCAAGATCAAAATTCAAAAAAGCATTCAAAATTCTTTAGAAATGAGAGAGAAACTTTTGTTGGTCATGTGTATTTTGCTAGTGAAGTCATGATGCCTATTAAATCTTTACTGGTGTTATTTTTATTTCTACTATGTAAGAAAATAGCAATTAAAAGTTGACAAACAATTTTTTTTTCCCTTTAAATTTCTAGAATCCTTGCTTTATAATTTCTGAGAATTATTAAAGATTACGAAATTTTTTGATGCTGTGAACTTGAAACATTTGTCATGCTCTTTTTTGTCTCTGTTCTTTTGCACTATTACACACTATTTGAAGCATGTACATTGCTGATTTACAGATCTTGCTAACAAGTATCTTGAATTTTTGGAAGCTGCTCCTGCAAGATTTAAGAAAAAATTGTTAGAAAAGGTATTATGCTTATTTTATCTATTTTATTAAACTGTCTGTGCAATATTCTACACAAGTAATCATTTATGTAAAAGTTGTACATTTATGAACTTATTAAGTTGTCATGCATACAACATGATTGTCATCAAGGCCATTATGTTTTGAAATCTTATGGAAGATTATGATTGTGGCTAATGGCCTCATAGCACAGAATGTATGGCAATATTCTGCAACAAGCATATGAGTCAACAAAAATGTTCTGCTGCTGATTATAAATGCATTTTACCTCTGAGCAAGCGTACACAACCTTTCTAAAGAGTTCATTTAAAAATGAAATGTGAAATAACATGTAATAAACTATTACTGTTGTACAAAATCATAAATTTAATACAATTTAGTAAGAAAAGGAAAAATGCTCATGAAATTAAAATGGAAAAATAAACAAACAATAAATCTTACTAATAATCTCACATCTAAGTAAGATGAATGACAGGAAATCGAAGTATTATTATAGAATATGAACACAGGCTGTAGACCTTTTTTTTTTATTATTTATTTCCTCTTTAGGCATAACGATAACAGAAGAATGGAATAATGACTGGAGGTCAAGTATTGCAACTGCGTCTATTTTTCAATTCATTCATTTTAAATTTAGTTTGGGGGAAGAACAGGGTAGAAAATGAATTCTTTTTTAGTACTTCGGCGTTTCTGTCTGTTTGCCGATTCATGTTTAACTGGAGTGGAGGAATGATAAAATTGCACACTTAAAAAGAAGAAAGATAGTGATGCACATGTCTGATTTTGATTTGTGTTTTTGCACATTGAAACCCAAGTTAAATTCTAAATAAAATAGTAATAATAGAATTACAGGCTTACGCAGGGGCCCCCATCAGGGGGGAAGGTGTGCGCACGATGCACCCACTTAAAGCTTGGGGGGATTTTTACACTAAATAAAACGAATAGTTTGGGGAAGATTTATACGAGATAATTTTTTTTTTTTTTTTTTAGTACATAAATAAAGGTTACTGGCCATTTTCAGGCATACATAACTTGACTACAGGTGCAAAGCAAAATAAAAAATAAAAAAATTGGGGGGGTGTGAATGCACCCAAGGGCTTGGGGGGGCGCTGGGCTTACAGTGGCAATGTAGCAGAGTTCTTGCAGGAAAAAAAAAATTTGGGGGTGGGGAAGTAAATTTTCTTTTTTCCATAAATGTTTTAAAGATTTTTCTCTCTTCAGAATTATACTCTAGAAATCTTTAATCTTTCATTGCTCAGTTATTATTGATATTCTCATGATTTTCTTTAAAAAAATACTGATATTATGACTTTCCTCATTTAACAAAATGTTTTAGTATTTTTAACTTTATAAAATTCTCCAAAAAATAATTGTTTATGACTTAATAACAGATTTTATCTTGCATTCTGTTTCTGAAAGCTTTTGTACTCCCATCTAAGGAGTTATTTTTTCTCAGCAAAGCCAACTAATCGCTCATTTTCTTGAATTGTTAACAGCAAAATTGCTGCATTGATGCTTATTTTCTGGATTTCGTTTGAACCTCTTATTACATATTTTTTTTAGAAAGAAAAAGGTTCTTTAACGTTAAATTCTCCGCATCTGTTCAAGATGATATATTTAAAAAAATTAATTTTTAAATATAATTCTTTATAGTATTGATACTTTTATTGAACCCTCCTACACTTTATCAGAAAAAACACACGCTAACCTGGAAATCTTAAGATTTTTTAGTGGAAAAATCAGGGAAATTCGATACCTAATTTGAGTGGCCACCTTGTATGAAAATTAAAAAAATTTTGAAAAAAATCTGTGATTTTCGAACATATTGTGCCAACGTAACGTGGTGTCGAAAGAGTTGAAACTAGCTACCAAAATTGATTCTAGTGCATCATTCTTATTATATATTTATAAATGTATATTTCTCTCCCTAAAATCTTAGAAGGCGGCAATTGATGGACCCGTTACAAGCAAAATAAAGGCTAATAACACTACAGAGAGCACCAAGCAAGATAATCCATTGCCAGAGAGAAAAGAACATGAAGTGCATCAAATGATTCCTGTGAAATCGCTACAGTCTGAACTACTACCAACTTCCTCTTCTGCACAGTTATCTGTTAAGCCCTCAGCATCTAATACTCTTGCATCATCTGTATCACTTTCCTCTCATTCTGAGATGCGAAGAGAGGCAGCAAAAGAGCATCTTACATTTTTGAAAGCATTTCATTTAAGAAGAGAACAGCGAAAAAATCAAAATTCCATTCCAAAAAATACCTCTGGTGCACATCAAGTCAAAATGCAAGAAACAGCTCCACACAAATTTATTGAAAATTTAGTTCAAAAGGTAATTGTTTTACTTTTAATTATACTTAATTTTCTCTCTCTCTTTTTTCTTTTAATACTTTTCAAATTATATTTGTTGCAAACAAGCTAGTAAAAAATGTCATAAAAATGTAATGCTTTGACTTTTATCAAGTAGTGGATTTAGTTGAGAATTTTAATAGTCAATATTTCAATAATCTACAGAGAAACCTACAAAAAACTAGATTTTTATAGTACCTAATGTCTTCCGAACAGCTATTTCTGAACAACGTCTGCTTGTTTCTAGCATGAAATTTGTATCAGGGTGAATCATATCTGACCTTTTTCCAATTTTTCATATTCTGATCATTACTAAATGTATCTATGGCTATTGATGAATGGTCGTTGCATTCAAGTCATTGTAACAGTTTTTATATGTTCATATAATAGTCAAGCATAGATTTAAGAGTTCGTATGTGACAACTGAAGTCATTCTTTTTTTTTATCAATTGTGCCTGCTGCTGATAAGCTTGTTCTAAGCTGCCCACATACTATGAACAGTAATTTTTTATGTGTCATCAGTCCAGGGTTCCCACAGTACTTGCAAAACCTTGAAAATTCTTGAATTTTGTTGTAAAAAAAAAAAATCAGGGTTCCATAATAGTGTCCTTAAAAACACAAAATTCTGTGATCGGTCCATAAAAAGTTTTTGATTTCCTCTGAATAATTTTCAAAATAGTAAAAATTTTCCTGCGTGAAATTTCAACATTTAAATTTAAAAATTTTTAACTTAAAAATTTTGAATTTTATGACAAGCACATAGCAATAAAATTAGTTTGACAATTTTAAATTCCAAACATATTTCAAGGCGTGAACCCTAAAATTGTCACCAAAAAATTAGGTGACAATTGTTGCCATACTGGCGTGAACCCTAGCCATGTGCTTTTTTCTTTTTATTATTCTCCACAAATGAAGTAAAAAATCTTGTAAGATGGGGTTAACTAGTCTCCGTGTGATTTTAAAAAATGGTAAATCAACACTCCTAATCAACACTCAAATATCATAGGATTTTTAAATAAGTTCAGAGATCGTCCACTGAAATTACTTTCATACAAAAATATTAAGCAGCATTTTCTTTGTGTTTATTTCGAGATTATTAGAACACTACTTTTTTATTAAATAAATTCTGAACTCAACTACAAATTAATTTTAGGGGTTTTTATCTGATTGATGCTGCTAATTTTTTTTTAATGGAACAGAATTATGACATTTTTCCATGTATCGATTTAGAGTTATTCTCTATCGAAAAAATTATACTGGAAACTATTAAAATTTTCTATCCAAAGCAAATTAATTCTGAAATTAAAAATAGTATTTTTTATTATTTTTTTGCAGTAAAATTTTTCTTTATTACACTAAAGTAGAGCAAATTATACTTTTATTAGTCGTTTTTTGATATTATGATATTATACTCTGAAACTCCTATAGTTTTTTTACTGTACTGTTCCTATAGTTCTAATTTCTTTTTTAGAGTAAATCCCAAGATGATTCTTGCAGTGTAGCAGTTACTGAACTCCCCACTAATGTTCAAGCTGATAAGCAAGACAAACTAGCTTTTTCTTTAACAGAACTCAACCAGCCTTGCACAGAATATAAACTCTCAACAAACAATCTGGAATTTAAATATCCTGCTGGGCCTACTAAACAAGGCATCTCTTTACCAGGTAAGGAGAAAACTGATGCAAATGTGATAGTTTCGACGAGTTCATCAACACAGTTATCCGTGCCTCAACTGGAGTGTCTTCACACTGGAAAACCAACTGAACCTTTCACTTCTAATTGTCAAAAAAATTCTAAGTTCCTATCAAAAGAGTTCAAAGATATGAAATCTTTTCAGCATGCTTCATCACAAAGAAAAGAACTATCTGTTGCAACAGTTAATATTCCTGTTTGTTCATTGGCTGAGACTTCACTGCTTCAACTGCCATCTCAACTGTCCGCAAAACCCTTAACTGTTAATAGTCACGACAAGTTCGGGTCAAGCAAAATAAAAACTAGTTTTGTGTCTCAGAATATGGTACTCCCGAAGAAAGAAAAGCTTGTGGTGACAGAGAAGGCTGTCGTAAACGTACCTCGATCTTCCATGCCTTCGTCTAGACCCTCGACTTCTAAGCAGACTGCATTACATATGCCTCTAATTTCTGATTCGGAAGGCTCGGTGAAAGCTGAGGAGTCTTTTCAGGGTGGTAAATACAGTTCTAATCGTCATCAAGATCCCAAAGGTTTACAGATTTTAACTTCTGTGAAAAGTGATCATATACTTAAATGTAATCCTGATAACCTCTTCACTCCTTTAAAAGTTCACCAACAAATAAATGATCCAGTGAATGTTCCTGTTGTACCCGTGAAACCTGTATGTGTGAGTAAACCTGTGGTTTCTGACAAATTGAGAACTAATCTATTCCAGCGACTAAAAAATGATCCTAAAATTATAAAAAATGTGTTGCCCACCATAGTCTATAACTCAATGCCCAGAAACCAACAGCCTTGCAAAGGAAGCAATCTTGCAATATTAGAAGCTGTTAAACAAAAAAAGATTACTCATATGGTTCAACCAGTGAAAACAAAGCTTGAAACACCAAATGTATACCGCATGGGAAATATCTCTGGCGTGAAAGTAAAAATACCAAAGGAACTTGTTACTTTAAAATATATAGTAACTAAACCTAATAAAATACCTGAGATATCTTCTACAGCTAATATTCCTCCTAAAGAGAATAAAATGAAAAGTTCAGAAGTGCTAAAAATAATTGCCACAGATAAATCAGGAACCTATATCATGGCTGCTAAAGGTGACAGTGACAAAGGAAGTCTAAAACGTCCACATGACTTTGATCTCAGTAGCAAACATTCTACAAAGCACCAGAAACTAGATCATTCCAAAGTTAAATCATTCCAACACAATGTCACTAAGTCAAATATGTCTGTAATGTAATTTACTGCTAAAGATAGAGCGTAATGCTGAATAATGAACTTTTAAAGCTAAAATAACAACCCATTTGTTAAGAATTTTAATTATACTAATAAGATCAATTAATGAGCATAAGTCACTGCACTTTAATTTCACAGAGATATGCGGAATTCGGCTGGAAGGAAAAGAGTTTTCCTTCCAGATCCTCGTGCAATATGCTACCTATGTAAAAAATTTCATGTTTAAAATCATAAATTCTGCTGCATATCTCTGTAAAATTATGGTACTTATAACCAAAGAACTCTCATCACTTCTTTAAAAAATAAACATGAGATTTAAAACTTAACAATTTGAGTTTTGGTGGTGGTAGTTGTTGCTAATACGATATGCTTTCATTAAATCATATTTTATGACAGTCAAAACATTTCACAAATGGTAATTTAATGCTGCAAATCTTGAACTTTAGATATTTTTGTCCGGACTTACTTTACCAGAAAGTAAGTTTGTCATGGGGAAAAAATATGTAATATAAAAATTTAAGTTTCGATTGCAAAATATTTTTTTTTTCTATGAATGCAATATGTTTCTTACAAAATGTGAGAAAGTATGTTACTCCAAAGATTTATCATCAAAAATTAAATTATGTTAAGATTTATTACATAGTCTAGGTCAAGACTTGTCAAATAATTATTTAAGTTGTAATGGCAGTGTATAAAATCTTACATATGTTAGTGTACAATATGCTACTGGATTTATTCCAAAGGATTGTTGGATTGGAAAGGAAGGTTGAATTTATTCCAAAGAATTCTCATCAAAACAAGACTGTGATTATAATGTTACTGGGTTAAGAAAGAAGACAGTTTTTTAAAAAAAAAAATAATATAAAGAATCAACTATGAAACACTTTCTCTACAAAAACATGTCAATCTGAAAATTGGTGCAGTTAAAGACATGTTGAGTACTTAGCACTTCCTAACAATAAACTTGAAACAAAATTCTTTTTGTAACACACAATATGCTATATTCATACATTTTGAACTAAGTGCTAAATCATTCTTAATCAATTATGTCTGAGTTATTTAACTGTTTTGTAAATGTCTGTCATGTTATTTTTTAAATCTTAAAAGTGTTGTATTTCAATGATTGAAAAAATTTTCATAATGTGATATGTTTCTGTTTATGAATCAGGCATATAAGTGCTGACTTTAATGTACAAAATTTATCAATGTTATTCTTTGTAGCGATTTAAATTTCACGGTTGTGTCCCTAAGTCAAGAAATGTCATTAAGAGTAATTTAGTGCTTGATAAGACAAATGTATTGCCAGAAACAAATCTGGGGCTCACAACACCTGTCTTAAAGTTAGCAAACCTCTTGCTCAGCAAAGGCCTACATTATCAAAATTAATTCGAGGTAATTAGTTTCACTTCCAAATGAGAGCATGGCTTTGGTATTTAATTTTATTTTAATAACTTCTGAGTGAGTATTGAGTAACAGTGAGTATTTCATTTTAATAACAGTAGTAACATGTGTTAAACAATATTCTATACATTTCCTATCAAGTGCTAGATTATTGAGTCCTAGTGGCACCTAGTCAATCTTATTTTAATAACAGTAGTAACACCTCAGATAAAATCCTTGTTAGGCACACATTAAACAATATTATTCTATACATTTCCTATCAAGTGCTGGATTATTAAATCATAGTGGCACCTAGTCAAATATGGTAGAGTAATTAATTTGTTTAATACGAAAAATGTGTCTGTCATGTAATTTTCGAAACCTGTAAATTTTATGTGAAAGAAATGTAATTTTTTTTTTAATTTTAAACCAATCACATTTATAAATACTGAATATAAATATATTATGCAACATCAATCAAATGTCACTCTTATCAATCAATCTCAAGTGTCATTAGTTATGTCACTTAATCAATATTACAAAGTGTAATTTAGAGCACCAAAAGCTAAAATGCATTGCTATAAACAAATCTAAGCGTACATCATTTGTTCTGAAAAGAAAATCCATTCTGGTATTAAAAAGTGTCCAGTATTAATTTAGAGCACATGAATAACTTCTGATTTAATTATCAGATATTCTTGTACAAGATGCACTCTTTATTGTTAGAAAATTAAACTTAAACATATTAATTTACCACCGCAATATCTTAAATTAGGAAATCAGTCGCAAAAACGTAATTTCTCTGAATAAACATGCCCCCCTTTTTTTTCATTTAAAAAAAAAGCAGCTTGGACTTTCGGCTTTTAAAATATGGCTCAGAACGCAATGAAAGATTATAATAAGTCTCAGCTTAACAAGAAGAGTGACCGGAAATTTGAACCTCTTAATGTTGATTTTACTTTCTGCTTATATCTAGAACTTTTTAAGCAAATTGAAATCATAGAATGGTTTTTATGGTTGTGTGCACTAAGATAATTTCATGTAAAAATAAAATTATTTTTAATATGGATCAAAAACAATTTGAATTGTAATGTATACAAATTTTTACAAACTACATAATTAAATGATAAAATTTAAAATAAATCTTGAATAGTTTCAGGGTAATAAAATTAAAGAAAGGAAGTTATGCATTTAAATTTTTATTTCTCAAAAACTTCTTTACCAAATATGTTTAGATCTGCCATTTAAAACTATAAAAATTTGTATACACAAGAATAATCAAATTTTATAAAATAAAAGTTTATTTTTTACTAGAAATTATGTATAGTTTTTATAGTTCTTTCAAAAAAATGTTTCGAATTTTGGAGATATAGTAAAATAAGCAAAATGAAAATCATATTAAGGGGCTCAAAATTACGATAACCCTTCTGTTTGAACCTTATTTTTAAAAATGTAGCTATTTCTAAAATATTTTGGGTCAAAGATCTGCATCCTTTGAAATAAAATTTATAAGTTTATACAGAAAAGGTATGTTGTTTGCGAGTTAGATTATGCTATGGTTCACGCTACTTAATTACTAAGTTTAATTACAAATTTTTTATTTGTGAGTAAACTTTGTAATTACAGTTCGCTAATATTAGCCTTAATGGTAGCTTTTTTGATGCATGAAAAGTAAAAAGTCAATCTGTGATATTTTTTTATGGAAATTAATGTGTGCTGTCTACTACATGGAACATCAATTTTTATCACTAGTTGTATAAGTGCTTGATAATTCTATCATTATAGTCATGCCAAATAAATGTGTCAAAAAAAATCAAGTGTTTCTCATATGAACAGAGCATTTGCCATGTAATTTTTCTAATATTGTATAGTAGTATTAATGTAAGCTAAAAGTGATTGGAAAACTGTGATATTTTTCTGGTGGAAATTAATTTATGGTGTCTATATTGTTTGATGAATCAATATATATCCCTCGTCAAATTTGATAATAATTTGGGAACAATTGTTTCAGTTGATGAAAGGAATATGCCTGTTGTATGATTTTCTAGTAGAAGAGAATCCTGAAATCTTATTACTGTACTTAGTTTTTCACCAATGTTGACCTTTATTGATCAACTTGAAAAAAAATCAAAAATTTTATTTCAATAGATGAAAATGAATTTGTTTGTACAAAAGTATCGCAGATTATGGAAAAATAATGATTGAAAATATCTCAAATTAGATAATATAACAAATGTACTTGATGAATAATTAAATTTTGTAAATAAGTATGTTTTTCTTTTGTATGTTATTCTTTTTGTATGATTTATCTTGTAATAACTGTTTATATTTTTAATAAATTGTTTTATTATGAAATTTTCAATAACTGCTTGTAATCCTATTTACAGTTTTAGAATATTTCAATATTTTCAGCATATGAATATCATCTATTGCACATCATATATAGACTTTTAAAATTGAGGCTATAAGCCATTGAGTTGTTTCTTTATTTTTATATAATAATCAGTTTCATTTTTTAATCTTAGATTTTTACAAGTACTTAAGAAACATTAGTTTCAATTGTTTTGTACATACTGAATGAAAGGCTTAGTTTTTTTTTTAACAAAAAAATTAACTTTAACTCCTGTTTTAGTTGATTTTTGGATTTAAAAAAAAAAATTCCTAAAATATAAAATTTTTTAATGAGCACTTAAGTGGAATGAAAAGAATTGCGGTTCTTAAACTCGAGACCGAGTTTCCACTGCCAGGTGACATTTATTTGTGTTCCAAATAACAATCAAATTCAAATTTATAGTAACTGTAATATTCATTAAAATGATTCTTAATCAGGGCCGATTCGAGCTGATTTTCATGAGTAAACAAAAATATTTTTAGCGTCCTCAATCATTAAAGATAATAAATATGAGCAGAGTAAAATAAATTTTATTTATAATTTTAAAACAAGTAAAAAACTACAGTTTTTATTAAAACATTGCAAAAATTCTTATAAAATGTAATTTTTAAAAAAAAGTTTAACAGATCGAAATAGAGTAATTATTCAGCTCTGAAATATTTGATAAGAGATAAATACATACCACAGGCAAAATGCTGGATGATTGGATCTTCATGTTCTAGGCCTCAATATTAATGGTGATGTCAAATATGCTAAATAATTAATACAGATATTTTAAGTTACAAAATCAGTCTCAAAAAACTACTTTCTCTGAATAAATATATCCATAGCTGCCAACTCTACTGGTTTAATTTAGAAAATTCCCTAAAATTGAAAAAAGTTTCCTTAAAAATCCCTATTGAAATAGAATTTTTGCTTGAATATTTAAATAGGTGTTACTAATGCATAAAGAAGCGAGCCTCATTTATAAAAGTCAGTTGACTATCTTTAATGCATTAAATCCTTATTACTATTCAAAATTAAGAGTAAACATCATACATTACTGTTTGTCTAAGATAGGTACTCTGACCGCCACTAAGTCTGCGGTAGTCTGGTGCTATGGAAACAAGAAGAGGGCAGCTTCGATGAAAGAGGTCTCTTCTCTCGCCGAAACCAGTCCTAAAGAGGGATCCCGCACCCCTACTTGAAATTATCATACCTCGTTACCATAGTCACTGCCACAGCTCCAGACGAATGTCTGGCAGAGTACCTACCTTAGACAAAGAGTACATCAAGTTCATTCAGTGTTCATTGTAACTAGAAAATATTGCAGTTTTTTATTTTGATGGCTAAAATTACCTATGTGTAAAATAATTAAAACATTTTGTAACAATTGTCAAGAAATTTATACTACAGTAGACGCCGCTTAATGTGATCACGGTTAATGTTATCAATCGTTTAATGTTATCAAAATCGCTTAGGCCCGTCCGCTTATATCAAAATACATTGAAAAATCATCGTTTATTGTGCCTATTGTGCAGCTCNTATATTATCTTTTAAACATGTGTTATTATGAGGGGGGGGGGTATTTTGCCATTTTCGGTCAAGCATTGCAAAATTCCGCCGCACTGTACGATTTCAAATTCCCGGAAATCCTAAATAAAGAGAAAAGAAGACCTGCCAGTAACGAGTCAATGTTTGTCACGAGCACCTTTTCAGAAGAACTAAACAATGTGACAGATGATATGTTCCAGCCGCTATGGGAAGGGGGTAAGGGGTGACCTTCAAAAGAGAACATTGTTTCGGGTATGCCACTTGATCTTGGCAGGTCCCTTACTGAATCGCTATTGGTCAAACAATAAAATGGGGAGGGGGATAGTGAAACTGCAACATCTAAGTGTTTAAGAGACGGAAAAAAATCATTTTTTAGCTTAATTTTTTTTTCATTTATTGTAATCAATCGGTTATTGTTATCAAATCAGGTTCGTCCCGATGTGATCACATTAAGCGGCGTCTACTGTATTTCGTAATATCTACTTCCCTATCCATGTTGGCAGCTATGTATATCTTTTTCTCAATGAAATATGGTCCCAGTAATCAATATCACTGTAGAAAAGTATGATGTATGGATAGCATTAAATTTGCTTTCAGCAAATGCAATAATGTTTTTATTATTTGGTTTTGCAGGCTGAGCAACTTATAGAATGACATTAATTATTCTAATGCTATTATACTAGTTTAAATATTGAAGAATAATTTGCTAGTAAGGAAAGGTACATGTAAAAACTGAGACAGTGTTTTGACAAAAAATTTTTTTAGAAAATAGTTTTTATTTTAAAAATCTTTTATTTTTACATAACTCAACAAAAACATGGATATGGGCATTCTGTAAGAACTTTAGTTTCTTTAAACTCCCTTATTTGTGAAATCCTGACTCAGATTGTTCAGTGGTTGAAGTTACAGTGTGTTAAGTCTGACAGTTTTTAAAAATTTACAACAGGAACACAATTTTGCTTAAAAATAATAACTTTTGAAGTAAATTCATGATAAAGCTTGGTTTCTTTGGACGAATGACTTTGTTAGCACCCCACGTTAGTGTCGGAAAAAGTGTTTCAAATGCTCACCTTTGAATGTTAGCAGAAGTTCTTGGTTTGAGGTAAACAATAGGGAGAAATATATAAATATAATTTTCATTGCTTACAAATAAATGGGCTCTTTTCTTATACCATACCTTTTTTTTAAAAAAATAAACTATCACAATATAAAATAAGCACATAAATAAATCCGTAAGCAAGTTATGCATACTTAGTAATTTCTTTTTTAAACAAAAAGTTGAAAGAAAAATATAATTTTCTATGTTACAAAGATTTTTTTTAAAAAAAATATTTATTTTAAAATAAATAATTTTTTAAAATTTTTATTTTATTTTATTTAAAAAATAAAATTATTTTTTTAAACAAAAATATTTATAGTTTAAAAATAAATTTTTTTTTTATCTTATTTAAAAAAAAAATCTCATATGAAATATTACATTATATATTTTGAAGAATAATGCTTGAAGTAACTAAAAAAAGAATACAAAAATTTATAATCGTCAGCATTCTTTTTTTAAAAAAAAAAAAGATTTCAGTTCTCATTCACAAATAATAAAAAAGCAATTTACTAATCTTTATAGAATAAAACAATTCATAAATAATTTTTTTACAATATTTTCCCACACATATTATTTTATAGATTAAATCAGCATTTCCAGTAAGTAAATAACTAAATTTATGATTTTGTATTTGATATTAAGTGGTAATTTACCTAATTTTATTTTAAAAAAAATATGATTATGTTTGATGTGAGAAAAGAGCATTAATGCTCTTTTCTTAATAATTATTTAGAGATAATATTTTGTCATATTACATTATTTATTTACAATGAATATTTATTTTTATACATTTTTCTAATTTAAAAAAAGTTTTAATTAAGAATTTTAATAAAACTTATCAGTTTTTTTTTTTTTTTTTTTTGATTTAGAGTTTCTGATCACAATTGAAAAAATGAAGAAAATCTTAATTCATTCTTCAAACCCAAAATCACAAAAGACAGATAATTTAAAGTGTATTACCTGTTTATCATTGTACAAACTTCGAATTCTATCATTAAAATTTGATTAACATTTATGATATTTGCATATTTAATTTATAAAACACAATAATAACACAAGCTTTAATCAGCAAATATATAGATTAGTTTTAATTACAAATATTTTTTTAAACATATTTGCAAGCATATTTTGCCTTTGTAACGTCCACCTCGACTGCAGGTCTAAATGAAAACGAAACAGATTCAGGCAGCAGTTGGCAAATAATGGTGCCTGGTGATGCATGTTAACCACCCGCAAATAGGCCAGTCAGGGACATGATTGTGACTGTTAGTGGTAACTTCAAAATAAAATTTAAATTCCAAAATTAAATTAAATTAATAATTAACAAACATTAGTCTCTAAAATCGATAAGTATGAATTTTAGTATCACATATTTATTGTTGAAGAATATAGATATCTGAAAGAAAAATTGTGATATTGTTCAAATTTAGCTTCCTAACATTGATTAATTTTTAATAATATTGTATTCAGTAATTATCGCTGCATATAATATTTAATCTTTTTAATATGTTCTCGATAATGATCACAATATTATACTCAATTTATCAAATACAATATTGTGATCATTAATAATGATGAATTTATCGAATTTGATGAGTATTATTATCGTTAATGATCATGATATTGTCGAATTTGATACACTTCCCTAGCAGCAAAATAACTTGGGCTCTCATTGGACCTATATTCATGAATCTTGGCTAAATAAAATTTCAAAGAGCCGTTAGGTTTCCGATATTGGCCCTATATAGAATTTTCTGATTCTCCCAATATTTTAGAGTCACTTTACAACCAATAACAGTCCTATATAGAATTGCCAGCTCCACCCGATATTTTATATTCACTATTTAGCCAATGTAGGTTCTATATTGGCTAATATAGATCCTATATAGGTCCAATATTAAAAAATCTAGACCCCAATATTGGTCCCCTGGTGCATGTTCTTATAGGACCTATATTGAGCCAATTTTGAACCCAATTGGGGCCATGGTAAAATTGATGCTAGGGTTAAGTGTATTATTATCGTTAATGATCATGATATTGTCGTATTTGAGAAACTTAAGTGTATTATCGGTAGGTGGTGATCCCTGTAAATCAGAATCTGGCCTTCTTCCTATGTGTTTGCAACCTTGGCTTTATAATCCCTATAGCAGATAAGAACCAAACACTTAAATACCAACAGTTTCATTTAAGACACCTTGTATAATATTCATAAAGTTAGCATGCATTGTGTTTCAAATGGTTTCATGATCCAAATTAAAATTCTCAAAGTTATGTTTAATAGCGAGACAATGAAGCTTAATGGTGTAATTTTTTATAAACCACGAAAAGATTTTACAAATAAAACTTTGTTTACATTGTCAGGTGGGAGAGGGAGACGGGGACAGTGAACTTGCCAGTTGTTGCTCCAAAATACCTCATTGTCCTCAACGCAACTGGCAGGACATGATAATATCCATTGAGCTATTTTACTTAAGTCTGGGTATAGCTCAGAATGTGTTTTCCAATATTTCAACACCTCAAATTGGTTTTCCTCTTCCGAGCCGAGCAGCTGAAACGGCTCAGATATATATTTATCAAGTTCCTGCGTTGCAGCCTTCTCACATTTGCTCGGATCATAAATTTTCCCAGAGGACAAGTAGGATTTACGAACATCCACAAAATCCTCAACATTTGGTGATACCATTGATTCTTTGATGAGATTTCTTAGTTTCGTGTGTGCCTCCTTATACTGGGCAGAAAAACCGAAAGTCATTGACTTAAACCGAGGATCCAACATCGCTGCAATGTGGTGTTCCACAACCATGTTACTGGTAACTTCGGCCATTTCAAGAAGCATGTTGCTTTTTAGTTGCTTTAAGACTGATAAATCGTGAATATCCACAGAGCAATGCTTCTGCAACTTGGAAATCCAAGGAACAACCAGGTTTAGAGTTGGTTTATTTTGATTGGATAACTGCAACAAAGCCTCTTCGAAAATATTAAAAAATTTCACTATTGATGTAATAGTAGATTTTTCAACCGATAACAAGTGAGTAGAATTAGTCTCGTTCAAAACACTAAGAATAAAATCATATTGTTCTTCGATAGACCGGAACAAGGACAAAAGAGAGGTCCATTTGCTGTCAGGACATTTGGTCAATTCTTCAGGAAGTTCGTATTGGTCGGAAATTTGCTGGAAATAGTTCACGAGATCGACACAGCTGCTCAGCAAGTTTGTAAAGTCAGGAAGCTCACTGTCGGTGATGGCAAATCCTTTGCTAGAGGTTTGCTGTAGGATTTTTGTCAGGTTTTGAATGCAACACTTGACACACGTTTCTTCTTTGAAAACTGGTACAAGATTGGATTCATTATCAATCGCGATTAAACGCTTGAATGGCACGACAGGTTGGTCGGCAAGAAACAAATTCAGCCACGCTCGAACAGAATCGGGAGTTTTCGTCTCATAATCAAAGTCGTCAGTATGAATAATCACGTTTTTAAGTTCACCTGCTAAGTTGACATAGCTACAATAAACACTCACAAAAGGAAATTTCACTTGCTCATCTATCCAGACACTCAACCTGTAGGTTGCGCCATAGGAATGTTGAAACTCGGTGTAAAACTCGTTAACTGAAGACACATATAGGTCATTTAGAATGAAGCTTGTTAAAGTGGGTGTGGCACATAACAAACTACCAATATTGACATCACCATATGTCTGACCAATGTTGATACACATTTCTAAAATCTTGAGAAATTCTGGCTCATGAATCATGCTCAATGAGCTCTCAGTACTGAGGGCACAATTTAGCAACTTTTCGTGAGCCGGAATAACGTCGCTTTCGTTAACCGTAGCAGAAGGTAGTTTTATGCTTTTCTTATTACTTGGGAAAAAAATAATATTTGGCACGGTTCTTTTCTTGCGTTCTTTGGGTCGAGAACAAGTTCTTACGTGATAGCGAAGTGTGGATGTTGATTTCTGAGAGTCGTGTATGAATAAAGCCAAGCATTTAAAGCAGCCGACAAAAACTTTAGATAATACCATTTGTTCGTCCCCACACCTTCTGATGTAATAGGGAATTTTCAGTTTCTTTGCCTCACTTCGGCTAATCAGAAGCCTGATGTCACCAAACCAATTCCAAACATCGCTTTTGAACCGCCTGTTACCCTTCATGTTCATGAAAGATTTTTTAGTGATTATCGCTTTCTGTTTTTGGAAAAGTTGCTCAATAACTTCCTTTTGTTTGCGGGGATCTGTTCTGAAGCGCTTTACTTTAGTAGTGATTCCATCTTGGGAGACTATGAGAGTTTTATTTCCTGGTATGAGTTGATTTTCATCATCCATTTTATCATCAGATATAAAAATGCTAAAATAAAAGAAATAGGCTTAATTTAAAATAATGATTAGACTAATTAGTATATTTTCCGCACTACACTGAACAACATTATTTTTGACTGCACATTCAACTTCAACATGCAACTTATCATGAGATATGAAAAATTGAAACATAATGCTGCCTGTTTTGCTTTCTGTAAAAAAATAAAATAAAGAAGTGAAGAATTTAAAACAAAATTTTAGTTAATTTTGCAACACTTAAAAAGGTTAACTATGAGATAATTGGTAGTAATTGACACTTCATATGATATTCTAAATTGTATGTAGTAGTAAGTAAATATCTTAAATCAAACTTAAAATAAGAATCTTACATTAAAAAAAGAATTTTGTTATTTCTATAAAAAAAATGTATCCACAAAGCAGAATAAACTGGCATCTCAACACTAAAATAAAAGAAATAAACTTTATTTTTAAAATGAGATTGGAAAGAATATTTTCAACAATAATTGGTACACAATTTTTAAAAAGCATGTTATTTTCAAATCTAAAGTCAGATTTTAATGTCTATTTATTAGCCATCCATTTATGATCAAAAAATAAAAAACATCACCTTATGCTACAGCTAGACCAATTTTGGATATTTTTAATAGACCCTATTTATTTTCGAAGACAAGAACATCTTATCTATTTCATCAGGAGATATGAAAGTATTATAAAAAATAATAACCAATGCAATGTTATACAGTACAGAACCATTTATCCAGTATCCAGAAAAAATTTTGCCTGGCTTTTGGATTGGAAAATTTGCAAATTGAAAGCACTTTTTAAAAAACCACATAAAAAAAGCACCTTTAAGGGCTTTTAAGAAACATAAATAAAAAATAAGCACTTTTTAAAAACGCCATGCACCATGCTTCCATAGGAATTTGGGTTTGACAAAATATCGATAAACAACACTTTTCGGCTGATCCAAAAAATCAGGAAATTAAGACAACCAGGAAAGTGACGGTCCCGAGAATTCCGGTAAATTAGTTCTCTACTGTACTTAACAACTGAATTGTTTCAGTTAACCCCTTCTTTCTGGCTTCGGCGAAAATGAAGGGGTGAGGCTACGCCCTCCATTTCTCGCTCCTGAGAAATTTCCGGGCTGGAGTGTTCAATAGTAACGCGCCAATAAAAATAAAACTAATTCATTTCTTTTGCCCGAAAAACATTTTATTTCTCATTTTACACACCAGATGGCAGTACCAGGATATTTTCAAGGTAATTATAGAAAGTTAGTTTATTATAACTAGATGTCAGCACTAATCAAATAGCACTACTAAAAAAATAGGCACTTTTATGACCGTTTTCTTGAAAATTAACCGATCGTTAAAAAAAGATCAAGGTTACTTCATCAAGCAGCCTTGAACAAAAAAATAATTCTTTTAAAAAAAAGATTGCTATGAAAATATTACCATTCTTTCAGCCTAGTGCATGCCCTTATGTGATAACGCAGAGTGGATGTTGAGTGGTGTTGAGAATCATACATAAATATAGCCGAGCAACGAAAACAACCTACAAACACTTTACATATCATTTGCTGTTCACTTCCATTCAATCTAATGTAATAGGGTATCTTCAACCTTTCAGCATCATTTTCAGTAATAAATAATCTGACATCCCCAAACCAGTTCCAAACATCACTTTTAAACTGTTTATTTCCTTTAGAGTTATGAACAGAGCTCTTCTTTATGATCGTGGCTTTATTTTGAGCCACAAGCTGCTGCATGACAGCCTTTAACTTGCGTGTAACAGGGTTAAAGAACTGACCACCAGAGTCAGCACAAGCATCTTCTATGTCAGTGACAGCCGTGTCAGTTTCCTGCACTGGCGCATGAGTCGGAACGATGGAGCCGTCTTGGTCGGCGATGCAAATGACGATATTTTCTCCATATGTACTGCAATGAAATAAAAACAATTGTGAAAAGGAGAGCAAAAACAACAAGCAAGAAAATTTATGATAAGTAGGAAGCTTATAAAATTGAGAGAGTGATCAAGGAGTCATACACTTTGCTATCAGTTTTTTCAAACTACAATTGTTCTTTACTTTTGTTCAAGCAACAATGCAATCTAAAAATTCAGCAAAATTAGTCAAGGAAGAGCCAAAAAAAAAAGGGGGAGTATTTTAAAGTGGGTTGCAAGGTTTTGGATTTTTCACAACAGTAAAATCCCAAATTTTCTAAATTACTGTTAAAAAACTAGAATTAATAGCACTCCTATTTGTGGGGATGGTAGCTATCAACAATGCCAACCTTCATCTTGGAAAAGGTACCCACCATCGAATCGAGTTAACATATCTTATATTCTAGTGAATTAGAATTATATTTTCACCGTGGTAGATACACTACATTATTCAAACCACATTAAAAGCTCAATAGAATAATAAAACTTCCTTTAGCGCCACAAGTCAAATAATAATCATAACTGTGAGACATGTGGAATACACTTTATTAGGTAAACTTTACAAAAAAAAANTCAGGGATGTTTCCCAGACCGTCGCCAATAGCCCATTGTGCAGCTCTAGTGTGACGTAAATGAACAACAACAACAACAACAACAAAAAAAAAAAATATTGCAGAAGAAAAGTTAGAAGATAATAGTTTTTAGGTTATAGCACCCTAAGCAAACCTCTATTTTTTTTTTTTTGAAAAATTTCACATTTAAAATCCATTTGCCTTTGCAATTGTAGTTGACATGACAGATGAGGATACTAAGAAAATTTGGTAAGAACGAATTTAATTTATTTATTTTTGTTGTCTAGAAAATTTTATTTATTCACTTAATTATTTAACAACATTTTAATAAATTTTGTTTTGCTTCTAAATGGAAAAAAAAATATTTTCAAAAGCAGATGAAGCCTAAAGTTATGAAATTTAGAATTATTTACAAATGAAATAATGTGCACAAAAAATTAGAGACATGATTATAGTTTTTAAAAAAATGAAAGGGATATTTCTATATCCTGATCTGTTGCACCAACTACAGTAGCCAAGACACCAAATATATTTTAAATTTCCTGATTTATTAACAAAAAGAGAGAGAGATTTGCTCAGGGGTCTAGTGGTTGTATTCTTCAACTAAATATTATCCTGTTATTTCTTTCTTTTTAGTTTCCTGACTTCCTTGACTTGGTGACTATTTTGGCACGGTTATTATACAGAAATGTTTCCAAAATTAAATAAATGTAAGAATAACAATATTATGATAATCTTCTCTTAGTTTTATGTTTGATAAAGAAAATATAAGGACGCAACTCAAAAAATTACCAACAGTTATTGGTTCATAAAAATTATGGGTTAGACTATATTTGAGGGTGCCTCTTGATTCTCGCCAAGTTGTGATCGCGGTTGGTCGCCAAGCTGGGCAGTGTTGAAACCCATCGTGATTCTGATTGGTTCAGATTTTAGCGCTATTGTTAAATGTTCAACGGTATATGTAATTTCAGAGGTCCGTTAATTCTACGTTCGATACCGAAGGTCTGTAGGCAGTCAAAAGGACTTTTTTCAATTCATATTTCGCCGAATTTATGTGGCAATGGAGGTACACAGATTCTATTCATGATAAATTTAGACAGTATCTGTGCCTGAGGACATTCAAGCTTAATAAAGGAGTTTTTTTTTTTTTTTTTCCTTTTCTTCCTGCGTTTACTCCATTAATTTTTATCTCGATTCAAAATGAATTTTATTGGGTTTATTAATTTTGCTTATATTAGATTCATTGCAATATTATAAAGTTTTGCTGAAATTTTCCAATGTTTTATTGAAATATCATTATGTTTTGGCCGCCATTCCTGTTACCACGGTGTTCCGCGGAAACAGGAATGGCGCTAAACATAAGTCTCCAATTTCGCCAAGGTGCACCCTCAAGCATATTTTTACCAAATTAGGCAGTGAAATGTCTTATTTCGGGTTTATAAAGTAAATGTATATTGTGCTCAACGTAAATATAACTGGTTTTGGTTTAACACAGAAATAATTTTGGGATATTATGTTAGAAATGCCCTGATTTGGGATTATAAAGAAAATTTATATAACTCATATTATAAATACGTATTTTACATTTTGGTTACACAAAGAAATTTGTAACCATTTCACGAATTAAATGGCATCACAAAGAGAATTCGTTTTTACCTAACAGTTTCGTTGCAATTCAGAGTTTCCAAGGCATCAACAAACGCCGCAACGTCAGAGCTACAAACTAACGTAGCAGAAGAGTTTTCCATTTATTTATTTTTTCGTCTCTAACTTTCAAAAAACTAAGTAGATGAACTACATTTTTCCATGTCTATTTGTTTTGTTTGAATTGAACCGATTATTGGTTCAAACTCCCAGTTCAGACTCTTAAATCATAAAATAAATTAGCTTAAAGCTTACATAACTAAACTTTTAAAATGATGTCATTTATCTGTGATGTCATAACCATAAAATGGATTTGTTGTATTTGTAGTTCATTTACGTCGCACTAGAGCTGCACAATGGGCTATTGGCGACGGTCTGGGAAACATCCCTGAGGATGATCCGAAGACATGCCATCACAACTATGATCCTCTGCAGAGAGGATGGCACCCCCGCTTCAGTAGCCCAACGACCTACGCGCGAAGTCGAGCACTTTACGGTAGCACAGTTTAACGAGGACCAATACCGCACACCCTTGGTCCCTACGCAGACTGATCCAAGTGGGTCACCCACCCGCAAACTGACCGCAACCAGTGATGCTTGACTTCGGTGATCTGCTGGGAACCGTGTCTTAATGATCAGTCAGTCCACTGCGAGACTAAAATGGATTTGCTAAAGATTCACATCCATCGACAAGCATGTTGAGTTGGAGCACTTGTGGAAATATTTCGTTTATTTTATTTTTTTTTTTTGATACGATACGATCCCTTCATTTACCTCACATTAAAGCTGCACAATGGGCTACTGGCGACGTACTAGGAAATACCCCTGGGGATGATCCGGAGACAATACACATCCTGTTTCACAGCGAGGACACATTCACACACCATCCATCCATCCCATTTTATTAAGCATTTTTAAATTTATTTCTGAATATGAATTCTGCCTAAAAGGCTTAAACCAGGTTTAAAGGAACAAAAAATGGTATTCTGTATAAATGTATGATATTGAGGGTTAAAATGTCCAATACAGTATTTCAACAATAAAAATTTAAAACAAATTTAAATATTAATGTATACTTATTATTTATCAGATAAATCTATCGCACGTATGAATAATCTGTATGAATAAATATAAATTCAGTCGTAAAAAGACTTCATACATTGAAATGTAAATGCATTAAAAACAATGAAAGTTTAAATTCATTATTAAAAATTAAAATCAATTTAGAAAACTTTTGGCTGTTAGCAGCACAGTTTTTTTTTTAAGCTTTTTGCAGAGACGAAATGTTTGCATGTGATTTTTATATACCTTCCGAGGATATTAAAATCACAACTGCATGTAACACTTTGATTGTAAATTTATTGATGAAAAAAGTGCACTCCTATCTTTAACAACTATTCATGTACATTCGTCTTCTGCGGCACGACAGTCCGTAGTGGTCTCTGGTCTTTTCTAGGCGCGTCTCCGTTTGCACCTCCTTTTTTCAGTTTTTGGAATGTTCATGTCAAAGAGCTACGAACATTTCTAACCCGAAAAAAAAAAATATCAATTCTGCAATTGATATTTCTTAAAAAATATGTATTTAAAAAAATATGCTTTTTAATGATGACACGAAAAAATACTGTAATATCCACATTTATTTATCCACATATTAGCATTGATTTATCCACATCTTAATATTTATTTAGTCACATTTTAACATTGATTTATTCTCATTTTAACAATGATCTTCACATGAAATTTGAAACTTATATGATCCTGCAGTCTGAAAGCCTGATGTCCTCTTTAATTATATTAAACATGCATTTTCTTTAAAGCCAGAACTCAAGAATTTTTAAATATGTAAATTTTTGAACACTTTATTTCTTATGTTTAACTAATTTGGCATAAAAGTTTTGAATACATCAAGCATATTTATATGTTTTCTCTAATTTAATAATATTTCAAAAGAGGATATATCGAAATAAAATTATGCTCTGATTTCAGATTTTTAGCTTATAAAATATGTAACTACCTTTATAGTCTTTGTAATATGTCTAATTCAGTGTTAACTGTATTGAAAAACACAGGCGACTGATTGCAAGTTGAACTGAATACATTCATAAATGACATAACTTATTTTGAGATTTTTTTAAATGAAATATAATAAAAATAATATTTAATAGAGTATTTAATTTAAACAGCTAGTGATAAGTTGAGTTAAATTTTATGAAAACACTTAAAAATTCCACAGAGGAGTTATTTTTTACAAAATTAGTATTAAAAATGTTTCTAGCAGAATTAGTATTGAAAATGTTCTTAGAGCATTGTTTCCCAAAGAGTAATATGCGTTACCGCAGGGGTACGGGAACAGTTTAGCGGGGGTACGCGTTTTTATGCGATGCAACAAACGAAAATTTCAAACATTTTTATTTAAAAACAAAGCTAGACATGAAAATTTACGTTTACGTATTTTTCTATTGGCTATTTTTTGCAGAGTTTGCCCAGTTAAGTGGTGTCAACAGTCAGTTGTGATTTTTAACTCTTGAAAAAAAAAATTATAGTAAAAAATACAATCATTTTTTTATTAGTAATACACAGCGTTACGAAAAATTTAGAAAGGGTACACAAAAGTCATAAGTTTGGGAAACACTGGCTTAGAGGCATGATTATAAATGTATCATAACAAGATTGTTAGAATTAAAATGGAACGTAAAATATTTTTAAAAATTTTATTTGCTAATTTCTTTCTTTTTCAGGCTGCGGCGAAAACTTTTTGACTTGCAAAGCATGCGGTGATCTATAAAAAGAGGTTGAAAATCTGTGGTCTAGGTGTAAAAATAATTTTTGGCAATTTCGATCTTCCTGCACTCTAACCAGATGTCCAGTACCTTGATGACAACCAGCTGCTGTGGAACAGATTTACTGAACAGGTGAAGGCGATGGGATAACCCGATCTAATGAAGTGTTTCATAGGAAAGGAATTTTAGATTTTAATAACAATAGATTGCTGTCCTTTGTATGTTTTCTTACTTCATATCTTCGGACGTACTTCCCCTGTGCTTAATTTTGAGTCCCTAATTTTGCTATTGAGATTTAAATACAATTCTTTTCTCCATTTGAAAAAAGGCAGTAAATATTTGTCAAGAAGTGCCCTAAACTATCGACTATGAATATTTTGTAATTACGTACCTGTGTAACCGAAAAATTGGAGAATGCCATTGAAAAAAGGGTAAAAAAAAAAAAAAAATCTTCCAAAGACCTAAAAAAATTTACTTTAAAATGAAAATAAAATTCCCTTAAATTTTTGATGCCATGTTTTTTTTTGTTCTAAATTGTAATCTGTGTTAAAAAATTTAATGAGAAATACAGTAAAAATTAATATAAATTTGTAACTTATGAATAGAAAAAAATTTAAAGATCAATAACCTGATGAAGATCAATAAGCATTCACTAGTTTTTAGTTACAATCTTCAAAAGCATAAACAGTTACATTGTATTAACAATTTTTTTAATAATATTCTAAAATTTGACCAAATGCCTTTGGTCTGAGAAGGCTAATTCTTATATCTTGAAAAATTTCGATTAGTAATATCAGCATTTGTTATAGGTACATATTTGAAATTTTACAATTAAATTTTTTCAAAAATTTATAAGGAAAAAAAAATCTCAAATGAAGTACTTTTAATATTAAAAAATATCAACTACAATTTATAAAATATGACTGAAATAAAATTTTATCTCTGGTTATAACCCATGTATACCGTTTTTCTTCTTTTTTTGTACCTAAAACAAGTAGTGGTGATAGTTTATAAAGCATCATATATCATCGAAAAGCATAAATATGCATGACAATGAATTGCTGCTTTCTGAATATTGAAAATAAAAAATTTCTAATTAAATCTATGTCTTAAGAAAATAATGCACTAAACTTCTAAACCTGATAAGTGTAGAAAAATTTTAAGTGCATACAATGGAGGCAATTTCTCAGAATTTCAACCTATACTTTCAGTATGTTTTATTTACTTCATTTATTTGTCCTCAAATTTTTGCATGTTTACAAAGAAAATCATATAACAATTTAAGACACTGTTGAAATTAAACACAAAATAAAATAAAATTGAATTTTCTTTAGAGTGTACGAAGTAATCTAAAACTAATATTTATAAATAGTGTGAAATATATAATTAAAAAAAAATTAAAGGCAAATATTAATTTCAAAATCATAATTTGACAAGATTTTTGAAGGGCACTCAGAATAAAAATATGTTATGCTTTATAAAAATATATATAGGTCAAAATGAAATTAAAAAAAAAAAA